AAAGGGGAGAATTCACCTTTAAATTGTTGTCAATTGTTAAGGTATTAGATATAGTTCACCTTTGAGACTCTTTCCTCAAAGTGTTCCTTCAAAATGAATTTCAAAAGTTGAGTGTTCTTATGGGTTTCATCTAATTACGAAATTGAAGTTATGAATTGAGTTGTTGATGATTTCTGCAGGTTATATTGAATAAATTAACTTTTAATTTAACTTTTTTATGGTAATTGTTGATGGTTCTGTCCAAATTGAAGAACATGCCCTAACGTAGCTTATGATCTTGACCTATATTGTATTCTAGTCATTCAATTGATTTGGTTATTGATTAGATTACTATCCTATGTTGTTATTATGAATAAATTAAGATGAAATATAGGCCTATAACTCTATTTTATTGAGATATGATTTAGGTTATGAAATATATTGTGAAATTAGCCTATGTTTCTTGTCTTAAACTATGATCTATTGTTGAATTTTCATATAGAGATGCAATTGGCCTTGTTATCTTACGTTTATCATTGTGTGATGATCTTACTCCTCTAGTAGGGTTGAGTTATAGATTGATGGTAAGACTTTGATGATGAAATATGAGGAATACTTGGTAAGTCTTAGAATCTCCATCTTTACTTCCAATTGTGATTAATTGTGGTTAACTGATGATATTATATTGGAGTATTCCTTGTATTATGATTGATAGGATGATATGATGATTGAATTTAAATGTCTTGATCATGGTTTTGAGGTTTATTAGGATATAAATTCTATAAGGATGGTGATGTACACCAATGTGCCTTATTATGAAATACAATGTAATGTGTTAACCTCACTTATATGAATTGTGATGAAAGGATTACACTCATGCAATTCTTATTGAGCTATTCACGATGATGATTATACAAGGGATAGACCTTATGACCTAAACTAATCTATGATTATTAATTAAAGGCTTAAAGACATTTCAATAAAGGGACTTAGCTTAGCACCGACTGAACTTGACAACGGAGGGTGATGATTTCCCAAAGTTGAAGATTCTCCCTATAGTTCTATATGAGATGTTGGCTTCCCAAAGAGGAATACTCAGCCAATGTATTTCCATGAGAGGATGTCCCAACCACCAAGTGGTATCAAGAGGGAATATACTATCTCTTAGTTCTTGAACTATGTTTCCCCCATAGGAAGACTATCTAGTGGATCCACCTAGAAAGCGACGTTTGTATTTTGTTAAACTTTGGACGATGGACCACCTTCAATCGGTGTAAGGTTTTACAACAATGGATTCCACACGTAGCTCATGTGGTCTATGTCGGTTAAATAAAGTGTTCCCTAATGTAAAATAAAGTAATGAAGTATAAACTAACTATGGAGACTTCAGAGGCTGAACTTAGCCTAGGTAGGGGTTAAGACTCTTCCTATTCCTGCACTATTTGACTTTGATGGAAGCTTTAGGAAGTTGATATTATGTATTCATATGATAATGATATATATGATGATAGTATGTTGATACTACAATGTAAGTGTCTATATATAATGATTATTATCCTCTTGATTTATGTAGTTGGATTATATTGTTAAACTTAGACATTGGTTATGTTCTCTTGTTAAATCTACTTGGTTGAGCAAGGTTATGGGGCTTTTCTTGGTCATTGCACTTGTTGACTTGATAAGGATTCATGAGTAGTCGTCTTGCTTATTATGATATGATTGACTCTTATTCATTTTTGTGATGTTATTCCTTGATGATAGGGTTATTGTAAATAATGGTTTCAAGTATGTCGGAATACATATTACTTGTTGAGTTAATAAGCATGAATGGTTGGTTAATATGACTTTCTTAGCTTTGCATAAGGTTCTTAAAATGACCTGTTTTTACTAAAAGTCCTTTTTAGCACGTTTTGCTTCTATAGATGCATAAGGTCTCATACTTAGTACATTTGGAGTACTAACCCCATTTTCTTCCCTTATCCCAAAGATGTTAGGTTCTGGTCATTGAAGAGTTTGGAAGCCGACATTGTTGAAGGCTTGGATTCTTCATTTCATAAAAATAGGGTAGGTCCTCAAATTCTAAAGGCAATGCCACTATCTGGCTTACGGACTTGTTAAAGACTTTCATTTCTTTCCTTTTCAATTTAGTACTATACTTTTGTATGAAAAGTTTTAAAATATCTGCATTTTCAACCTATGAATGTAATGACATGAGAATAAGAGGCTAGTCTTAGTCATTAAAAAGGACGACAATGCTGGTTACATCTAGGGGGTAAACATAAATGTGACAAACTTTGTATAAGAGCATGAAGTAGAACCTGATTGAGTTATTTTTCTCTCTCTCTACCACATCTATGTAGGTTTGTATTCATAATTGTGAATCATGCCACACTTATGAGTAGGAACCTATATGATGCTTAGAAATGACTCTTTTTGTTGGAAATCATATATTGTACCGATAGAGTATACTTATGGTGTGATTTTGCATCTAATCCTATTGTTGTGATTATAGAAAGAATGAACACTCAAACGAATATGGCTCAAAGACATGAAGAGGAAATTGCAAATGCGGGAGACCCCGTGGTGATTAACTTCCTCCACTTGAAGAAGATGCTAATGTAGAGCAAGCATCGATCAATCCTCCTCCTCTGATGGATTAGAATATAAGGACCACTCTTCATCAAATGGACCAAGCTATCGCTACTCAAGCACAAGCGGACACGACTGAAGCCTAATCTATTATGGCTCAAGTAAACTGGGAGGTTGTGCCCCGTCCTCATCAACAAGTCACTACTATGATTTCCCGTCAAAGAAACTTCACACGAATGAACTCTCCTACTTTCTATGGGTCTAAGGTTGATGAATACCCCCAAGAATTTGTTGGTGAAGTCCCAAAAATACTTGGGGTAATGGGGTTTTCCACAATTGAGAAGATCGAGTTGGCCATATATCAAATCAAGGACGTGGCGCTAGCTTATAATGTGCAATTGGAGGATAATAGTCCACGAAGGGGTGGTACAGTCACTTAGGATATCTTTAAGACAACTTTTCTAGATCGGTTCTTTCCTAGAGAGATGAGAGATAACAAAGTGGTGGAGTTCATTAACCTTCGCTAAGGAGGAAGGACTGTCCATTAGAACTCTTTTATATTCATTAAGTTATTCAAATATGCTTCTTCTTTGGTCTCTGATCCTAGATACCAAATGATCTTTTTTGTGACGGGGGTGTCGGAGGACTTACAAGAAGAGTGTCATTCGACCATGCTACATGAAAACATGAAAAATTTCCGTCTTATGGTGCATTAAAGAAGGTTTGAGGAGGCAAGGGCTAAGCGAAAGAGTAGAGATGCTAAAAGATCAAAATCATTTGATGGAGGTTCTTCAAAGAATAGGCTTTAAATATAAGACAAGCCTAGATTGAAGAAATGAGTTTAAAATCAAGTCCCTTCCAAGTTCCCAAAACCTAGGGGTGATAGAGTTTCTAGCCCTAAATTCAAGAAGGGAAAAGGCACTAATTCACCAAATGGGAAGCCTACATGTTCCAAGTGTGGAAACGGTAATCTTGGTGAGTTCTTTGTAGGAACGGTTCTTTAGTTGTGGCAAGAGTGATCACAAGATGAGAGATTTACCAAACTTTAAGAGTCAAGAAAAGGGTAGCGGTCAACCTCAAGCAAGTGGTTCAAGTAATGCTCCGAAGAAGAACCGCTTCTATGTTCTCTGCTCTAGGGGTGAGCAAGAGACTTCTCCCCACATGGTGACGGATATGTTGAAAGTCTTCTTTATTGATGTATATGCCTTACTTGGTCCTGACACTATTTTATCATTTGTTACACCTCTAGTAGATAAAAAGTTTGATATCTTTCCCGATATTTTGCATGAACCTTTTATAGTGTCTACTCCAATGGGTGAGTCAGTTTTTGCAAAAAGGGTCTATAGAAATTGCCCAATAATGTTGCCCAATAGAGTTTCTTATGTTGATCTAGGAGAACTCAATATGCTTGATTTTGATGTTATATTGGGTATGGATTTCTTGCATGCATATTTTTCCTCCATTGATTGTAGGACAATGGTGGTGAGGTTTAACTTCCCTAATGAATCCTTTGTTGAGTGGAAAGGGGGAAATTCTATTCCTAGAGGTCGTATCATCTTTTGTATGAAAGCATTCAAAATTATCTCAAATGGTTGTCTATATCACATAGTAAGAGTCCAAGATCTAGACTATGAAGTTCCTCCTATTGAGTCGGTCCCCTTAGTGAGTGACTTTCCGGAGGTCTCTCCTAATGACCTTTCCTATATTCCTCCTAAAAAGGAAATTGACTTTGGCAATGATTTACTATCGTATACAAATCCCATATCAATTTTTCCTTATCAGATGGCTTTGACTTAAGTAAAGGAGTTGAAGGCTTAACTCAAGGATTTACTAGATAAGGGTTTTATACGGCCTAGTATTTCTCTATGGGGTTCTCCGATTTTGTTTGTAAAGAAGAAGGATGGGTCCTTGAGAATGTGTATTGATTACCGTCAACTCAATAAGGCCACTATTAAGAATAAGTACCCTCTGCCTCGAATTGATGACTTGTTTGATCAAATCCAAGGGGCGAGTTACTTTTCAAAGATAGACTTGAGGTCGTGGTATCACCAACCTAGGGTGAGAGGTGAGGACATAATATCTAGATTTTGGAGGTTGTTCCAAAAAGGGTTGGGTACTATGGTGAAGTTGAGCACCACTTTTCATCATCAAACGGATGGTCAAGCAGAGCGTACTGTACAAACCCTTGAGGATATGCTTAAGGCGTGCATTTTTTATTTTAATGGGAATTGGGATAAGCATTTGCCTTTGGTGGAGTTTGCCTGTAATAATAGTTTTATTAATCCATTTGCATGATTCCCTATGAAGACTTGTATGGTAGGAGGTGTAGGTCACCTATTTGATCGTTTGAAGTGGGTGAGACATCACTTTTTGGTCCCGAATTGATTCATAAGACTTTAGAAAAGGTTCATATCATAAGGAACCACTTACAAATGGCCTATCGTCGGCAAAAGTCTCATGCTGGTCATCTACGAAGAGATTTGGAGTTTAAACAAGGTAATAAGGTGTATTTGAAAATTTCACCAATGAAAGTGGTCGGTAGATTTGGCAAGGAAGGGATGTTGAGTACTCGTTATCTGGGTCCCTATGAAATCTTGCAAAGGGTTGGTACGGTTGCCTGTGAATTGAAACTTCCTAGTGAATTGGCTTCAGTTCGTCTGATTTTCCATGTATCTATGTTGAAAAAGTGTATTAGTGATCCTGAGTCCATTGTTCCTATTGAGGGTCTTGGTGTTAAGGATAACCTCTCTCTTGAGGAAGTTCCGGTTCAAATTATTGATAGGCAAGTCAATAAGTTGATGAATAAAGAGGTGGTTTCCGTAAAGGTGTTATGAAAGAATCATCTAGTTGAGGGTACAACATGGGAGGCTGAGGCCAACATGAAGTCCTGTTACCCTCATATTTTTGATAATTAAGGTTAGTCATTCTTTTTAATAAAATAAATATGACTAGAAATTGAAGTTTCTTGATTTTTGGGTAAGTTTTTTGCAAAATGTGCATTTTTGAGTACTTCACAGTGAAGTAACGGTAAGATTGGTGCTTTAGACTTGAAATTTTGCTTTTTGCTTGTTTGGAGTTATGTTGTGCATTTTGATATGGCGAGTCTTTATAAAATCATATGTAGCATGTCGTTAAGTTGAACTTTGTGCAAATTAACTCATGTAATGTAAGTTGAGCTCTGAAGTGTTGTGAGAAAGAAATGTCTCATGATGAAGTTATTTGAGTCTTATGTGTGGTAATATGATTTTTAAAATTTCATTGTTTAAATGACATGTCCCGTCGATGGGGTTACATATGTGAAGGGTGAGTTTACTGCACGTTTTTATATTAATTCACTTATTTAATTAGGTGGTTTAGGGGTTAGTGAGGTATTAAGGGGAGACTAATTAACTAACTTAAAACCCATGTGACGTCCCCAACAAAAATTAAACTAATTAGAAGTGTAAAACACAAATTCTCTTCCTTCTCTCTTCTTTCTCTCTCTATTTTAACTCACTATTGAAGACTAGCAAGGAGAAGGGTTTGGGGGATGTAAAGGGTCGAATTAACCATCAAATTGTTGTCAAACGTTAAGGTATATGATCTAATTCACTTTTGAGACTCTTTCCTCAAAGGGTTCCTTCAAAATTAATTGCAAAAGTTGAGTTTTCTTACGGGTTTCATGCAATTACGAAATTAAAGCTATTAATTGAGCTGTTGATGATTTCTTTAAGTTATTGAATATATTAACATGTAATTTAACTTGTTTGTGGTAATTTTTTATGGTTTACTCTAAATTGAAGAACATGATCCTCAATCCCTTACCCAAGGTTGTGATCTTAACATATATTGTATTGTTTTTTCATTCAATTGATTTAGTTATTGATTAGATTACTATCATGTGTTGTTATTATGAATAAATGAAGATGAATTATAGACCTATAATGCTATTTTATTGACATGTGATATAGGTTATAAAATATATTGTGAAATTAGCCTATGTATCTTGGCCTTGTTATCGTATTGGTTATCATTGTGAGATGAAATTACTCACCTAGTTGGGTTGAGTTATGGGTCGAAGGTAAGACAATGATGATGAACTATGAGGAATACTAAGTAAGTCTTAGAATCTCCATCTTTACTTCCAATTGTGATTAATTGTGGTTAAGTCATGATATTATATTGGAGTACGCCTTGTATTAGGATTGATAGGATGGTATGACGATCGAATTGAAATGTCTTGATTATGGTTGTGAAATTTATTAGGATGTAAATGCTATAAGGATGGTGACGTACACCAATGTGCCTTATTATGAAACGCTATGTAATGTGTTAACCTCACTTATATGAATTGTGATGAAACGACTATACTCATGCTATTCTCATTGAGATATTCATGATGAATATTATACAAGGGATAGATTCTATGACCTAAACTAAGCTATGATTGTTAATTAATGTCATAAAGACATTTCAATAAAGGGACTTGGCTTAACACCGAGTGAACTTGACAATGGGAGGTGATGACTTCCCAAAGAGGAAGATTTTCCCTATAGTTCTGTATGAGATGTTGATTTCCCAAAGAGGAATACTCATCGAATGGATTCCCATGAGATGAGGCCCCAACTACCAAGTGGTATCAAGAGGGAATATACTATATCTTAGTTTTTGAACTATGTTTCCCTCATAGGAAGACTATCTAGTGGATCCACCTAGAAAGCTACGTTTGTGTTTGGTTCTACTTTGGCCGGTAGACCACCTTCCACCGGTTTAAGGTTTTACAACACCGGATCCCACACTTAGATCATGTGGTCTATGTCGGTTAAGGCAAGTTTTCCCTAAAGTAAAATAAAGTAATAAAGTATAAACAAACTAAAGTGACTTATGAGGTTTAACTTAGCCTAGGTAGGGGTATGGGACTCTACGTATGTGATATACCATGGTTTCACGGTATAATTAATACTTTTTCCTTAAGTTTAGTGTGTCCGGAAGCCTTTGTTGTGCTAATTTTGATATAAGTTTCTCTTTGTTTTGCAGGAAATCTGTCCAAAACTGAAAGCGGAGATTCTGAGCGAAAAAATGCAGAAGAGACCACCTGCGGAGCTTATGACGGTCCGTCGTGCCTGTAACGGTTCGTCGTGCCTGTGACGGTTCGCAGGTGGCAGCATAGAGAAGTTGCTTAAGGAAGATGGGGAAGTCTAACCAAGTGTGGGATTACGAAGTTTGTGATGGTCCGTCATGGCTATGACTGTCCATCCTGCAGGTTCGTCGTGAAGATCAGAGAAGTGATCCCAGTACCCAGATTCCAAGAGTTGAAGTATTTTGAAACGAAGACCCTGGACGGACCGTTGTGCCTATGACGGTCCGTCATACTTGTCGTCGAGGGGATGAAGAAAGCAGCAGAAGAAATTGCACCAAGTATGGGACGACGGAGTCCACGACGGTCCATTGTGACCACGACGGTCTGTCGCGTGGTCCGTCGACACAGCCGCGTTTTGGCAGATTTCCAGTAATTAGAATCCTTGTTTAATTAGGTTTTTATTTTTTTATAAATAGTTTGAAAAACCTCATTTTTGAGGTTAGACTCTGGGAGTTTAGACATCATATTATTAGACTTTCTGTTTTAGTGTTTGATTTTTGGAAATTCTTACAAATGATTTTTGGTGATTAATCAAGCAAATTTTCAGACTTTATTCTTTCTCATTGAAGTAAGTACATGAATTCTTATTTAATATATTTGAATATTGTGTTTATGGCTATGAGGAACTAAACTCCATAACTAGGGTGTGGGAACCATAGGCAAATAATGAGATAAACCCTAGCTAAAATAACAATTCTAGAATAGTGTCTTACATGTATTAATAATTCTTTCACTTAGAAGTCTTTTTAATGGATGATCAACGTTAGAACTCGCCTTAATGCTACTTGCCGGACAAAGGAGGTAGATAATAGGAAAAAAATTATTAACATAGATTTAGTGTATACTATCTAATAGGCTAGTATTGATTGGTACGAGGTAATAACTTAGTCAAATATCGAATACAATGCTTAATATGAGGTAAAGATAAGGGTTAGGAAAGCAACACACGCAGCCGGACCAAGGTGCGCAGTGAGATTTTCTAGATGTCGGACTAAGGATTTAGAAATACATAACTTATCACTTTGCATGCAAGATACTAGGAAAGAATTGTTATAGTTAGAATTATCAAGTTATGAACCTATGGGGAACACGTAAACCCTAGTTACTTTGATTAATTGATTAAAACTCGAAATTAAAAGCTGTTAAGTGTCTCTGTCAAGTTCGTTAGTTATTTTTACTCATTAGGAAATACAAACCCCCTTTTTTTATGCATTTACTTTCTTAGGAAGTCATCAACCGAACAATAGTAATAACAAGTTGAAGTTAAGTCTAGACTATTTTCCTCGTGGGAACGATCCCAACCTCACTAGTTGGTTTATTTACTTAACGGGACCGCTTTACTACTCATTTGAGAAGTAAGTTTGAGCGTATCAAATTTTGGCGCCACTGCCGGGGAATTTAGCTTTTAGATTAACTTGAACTTATTACTAAAGTTTAGTCGATATTTTCTTGATTTTACCTTGTTTTATTGTTTTTGATTTCCTTT